GGGGTTGGAAGAGTTTGGTTGGGTTTTTGTTGGGTTTTGGTGATTTTGGTTGGGTTTTGTTGAGTTCGATTGGGTTTTGGTTGGGTTTGGTTGAGTTCTGTTGAGTTCGGTTGGGTTTGGTTGAGTTCGGTTGGGTTTTGTTGGGTTCCAGTGGATTTTGGTGGGGTTTGGTGGTTTTATCCTTTTTTTGGTTGGGTTTTGGGGGGGTTCTGGTGATTTTTGTTGGGTTTTTGTTGAGTTCGGTTGGGTTTTGGTGGGGTTCCCGTGGATTTTGGTGGGCTTTTGCCAGGTTTTGGGGAGTTTTGTTGGGTTTCTGTTGGGTTTTGGTGGGGTTTGTTGGGTTTTTGGTGCGTTCTGTTGAGTTTTCCATTTTTATTTATGAGTTCTGTTGGGTTTTTGTTGAGTCCTGGGGGGGTTTTGAAGATTTTTTTCGGTGGGTTTTGGTGATTTTTGTTGGGGTTGGTTGCATTCCGGTGGATTTTGTTGCAGTTTTGTTGGTTTTTTGGTGGGTTCTATTGGGTTTTTGCAGAGTTTATAAATTTTTTTATTGGGTTTTGTCAGGTTTTTGTCCAGGTTTTGGTGGGTTCTGTTGGGTTCTAGGGGGTTTTGAAGGTTTTTTGGTGGGTAGCGATGATTTTTGTCAGGGTTTGTTGAGTTTTGTTGGGGGTTTTTTGGGTTTCTGTTGGGTCCTGGGGGAGGTTTGAAGGTTTTTTTATTGGGTTTTGGTGATTTTTGTTGGGTTTTGTCGGTTTTTTGGTGGGTTCTGGTGGGTATTTGGTAGGTTTTTACATATTTTTCTTGGGTTGTGTTGGGGTTTTGTTGAGTTTAGTTGGGTTTTGTTGGGTTCTGGTGCATTTTGAAGGTTTTTTGTTGGTTTTTCAGGTTTTTATCTAGGGTTTGGTGGGTTCCGTTAATCTTTTGGTGGGTTCTGGTGGGTTGTGAAGGTTTTTTGGTGGGTTTTGTCCAGTGTTGGTCAGGTTCTGGTGGGTTTTTTTAGGTTTTTTATTGGGTTTTGTTGGCTTCCGGTGCATATTGAAGATCTTGTTGGGTTTTGTCCGCTTTTGGTGGGTTTTTGTCTTGTCTTGGTGGGTTCTTGTCCGGGTTTTGGTGGGTTGCGTTGGTTTTTTTTTTTGTTTTTTTTTTTTTCAATTTTTAAATCCCTCCCCCCTCCCCCCCCACTCCGAGTCTCATTTTTGGATTTGAAATATAAAAAGCCGGAGGTTGATGTTTTTTGCCGCCAGCAGTTTGTTACACTCCACCGAATCGACGATGGGCAGCGCCATGTAATCCGTCTCGTTGCTCTCGTTGCTGAAGACAAAATGGTAGATGACGGGGTGGATCTTTACGTCGTCGTAGGGGCCCTCCAGGAGGAGGAAGGAACATTCCATGGGGGAATTGATTTTGCTTTTCAGGATGAGCTGGAAGGAGAGGGTGCGCTTGCAGGAGAGGTTGGGGTTTCGTTCCGAGTCGTTTACCCGCGCTTTCAACACCCAGGTCTGGTTGAGGACGGTTAAACGCGGCGTTTCGTAGTACAGGCGGGTGATGAAGTCGTCGGTGCGGTAAGGGCGGAACTGGACCTCTGGAAAACAGAAAAGGGGGGAGAGCGGGGGTCAGGCAGGAACATCCCCACGTCCCCGACAGCTGCCGGTGACACCGGCCGGGCGCGCCCCGCCCCCCCCCAAC